TTTCTGCACTTAGAGACATAGCATCCTGTTTACACATCTAATCAACAAACAGGGTATAAGAAAAACTTAGAAAATTGCCTACAGTCCTCCACCAAATGCATATTCCCAAAATTGATTATGAAAAATTGTTATTTTGTACTATAAGCAACTAGACTGAGTTTGGGAAGTTCCCAAAGTTCTTATGACATTTTGGGGCTTGATTTTTTTGCTGGTATACCTTTTCATGATTGATCAAGGAAAATAATTCATTTTCACAGGGTTTAAATAAACAATAAAAAATAGGAAAAATCCCACTCTCTTTTGACCTTGCCTTAGTCAAATTAAACTACTTTATTTTAGTTTATTTTACTAATCTACTTTATTACCTCTCCATACACTTCATGCACAGTTCTAATTTTCCTAGTAAAATGAGCCCAAGAAAAATGATAGCAAGGTCATGGTTTTCAGATCTTGTGGAAGCTGTGATGTATTTAAAACAATATTGTAAACCTCACCTCAGGTGCATAAGGATGTATAAGAGATTTTCTAGGTCATAGGGTCTACTCTGGTACTGCACAGAATCACATCATGTAATCCAATTGAAATCTGTCTAAAAATAATTAAATATTTCCATCCACTGCTTCTATTGGAAGGCTGGTATTGAACTTAGTTCTCTGTTGGTTAGAAACTTTTTTTCTAATTTTTCCTCCCAAATTTATTCATAGTTAGTTTATGCCCACTTGTTCTTGTGCTAACATTCTTTAGCTTAAATTGCTCCTTTCTTTCTCAGATGTCTTCCCCCAACCTCCAGAATGTAATTATAAGGATCAATTATATTCCTCTCTAACACCTTGTTTTGTTATGCTAAAATAGACTCTCCATCCTAGTATCCTTCTCTATACGTGTTCCAACCTGAATTATTCTTTCTTGAACTTGGATTACTAGCATGATATACAAAGCAAAGAATTTTTGGTGCTATCTTCTATTGGACCACCTGTATAATTGGGAGAGTTGTTAGACAGGCTTTCAGGCACAAAATACCCTTTATCACAGGGGTGGGCAAAATGCAGCCCGTGGACCAAATGTGGCCTGCCAAGCCATTCTATCTGGCTCGCAGGGCCCCTAAAAAAATTAGAAAATTAATATTAATCTGCCCTGGGCTGCCTGTCATGTGGCCCTCGATGGCTTGCCAAAACTCAGTAAGCGTCCCTCTGCCCAAAATAATCGCCCGCCCCTGCTTTATCAGGTCCCATAACTACAAGACTCCTACCCTACTACAGAATTATACATAGCATTCCAGACAAAGCTTTAACAGTTCCTATATCTACTGGAAATACATTACCTGGTAAATTCTAGGAATGTATTTGCCCTCTTCATCACCTCATCACATTGGTGACTCATAGTTATTCTATGACTAAGGCATCAAAGTCTTTTCCCTCTTCTGTTATTTCTAATTGATGAGCCTACAGCTTCTAGCAAAAATTCTGGTTATCAGTCTCTGAGCATGTTTATATGAGACACTTACTGCGCAGTAGCCTAATAACACTGCGCAGTAGCGTAGTAGTTAAAAGCCACGCTAATAGCCTACTCCACAGTGTTATTAGGTTAATGTGCAGTACGTGTCACAAAATAACCATGTACCAGCATGACTGCGCAGTCATTCTAGTTACTGAGCATTTTAGTTAATACTTTATTAAGTACTAAACTAAATGTGCAGTATCTAAGATGCATTAATGAACATGTAGACACGCCCTCTAAGAATGTAATATTGCACTTTGTAGTACATTTCATCCCATTTCTATAATTCCAGTCTTCAAGGTCATCCAGTTCTTCCTGTATGATATTCAAGTCCTCCTCTGTATAGGCGTCCCTCACTTTATGCTGTACACGCGTTCCTGGCAAGCAGCACCTAACTCAAATTTGCATAAAGGGAACCCTCTTTACAATGTAACAAATAAGGATACATTCCAAGACCTTGACTGTACTGACCCCTAGACCCATTTGTACCACTTTTACAAGACAATTTTGGTACTCACCAACAGCAGACAGTGCACGCAAGCACAGGGTGGTGGTGAATGTTACATAATGGGGATGGCAACTACAGAAACACGCGTTGCAGACAATGAGCGAGGAACACAGATCCACACAGGAGACTATATTTTGGTGCACATCACTCCCACAATGCAAAGCAGCTGACTGTGGGATTCTACCACATCGATCGCATAAGAGTGAATTTACCTCGCATATAACGAATTTTTGGTATAGAAAAGGGTCATCGCATAAGAGTGAATTTCAACATACAGAACCTGCATAAAGTGAGGGGAAATCTGTACTGAAGATGCTTCCTGACTTTGTGTCATATGTAAATTGTATCCACTCCTACTTTTTGTGCAAAGGTTATAAATAAAAATATTTAATAAGATTGGTCCCAGACTGTTCCTTGAGGAACTCTACTAACAATCTCCCTTCATCCCAATCCTGTCTTTTCAACAAAGTTGTCATCCCCACTTTAGCCAGTTATGCACCTTACAATTCTTGTCCTACTTCCCATCCTCTAGCTGAATTAATGATTTCCTTCATTGTGCTATATCAAATGTTCATTAGCACTCAGATAAATAAGATATACTTCAGTTCCTTTCTCTTTACTTCTTTTGGTTTGATGCATGAAGTCCAATGAGGACCTCTTACCTTTCTGGGACCTCTCACCCACCAGGAAGCGCAGGGTCAGGGGAGCGCAGGACCACTTCTTGTCCATGGTGGTAGCACCACCTGTCTAGGCTCTCAGGCCTTGTGGCGGCCTCTCCTGTCAGGCTAAGCTGCAACAGGGTGCCCCTCTCTGTTCTTGTGACTGGGAGACAGCTAATAGGTCTGTCTAGTACAAATCTAAGTCTGAAGGAAATATCCTGTAAATGTAATACAAATGAGAAGGAGACTGTATAGAGGAAGTTATAGTAGGAGTCAGTAGAACTTATTATATAAAACTATAGCGATTAGAAGATAATAGCCAAGTCTGCATGGTAAACTTACCGTTCCTGTAAATGGTCCTCTCGGGTATACTGCATTATTCTACACAGACTGCCTCCTAAATCAAAAGTAGCTGCATACAAATGGTACTTTAGGCAGACTAAGTAGTTGTGCAGTAGGCTAATGGGCATTGTCGTTGGACAGTATTAATCAGCCCACCTGAAACTCCACATAAATTCACTTCTATTAAATGTTTACAACAACTGTACACATATAGATCTCTATAGGAGGGCTGAAGGTAGAGATGGGTAGCCACAGCATTCTATTATGGCTTTGTTACATAGAGACTATCTTGCAAAATAAGCCAGGGTGTGAGTTTAAATCTCAATAGCCATTCAACATTTGGACATTTTCATTCTACCCTAAGAAAGCCTGTTTGTAGTTTAGCTTAATCCACCCCCTAAAATGTGCAATAAAGGCTTTCTTAGCTTTGGAACAGAAGTGTTGGGAGCAAGTGCAGAACCTTGCAATAAATGTGTGTTGGCCTTTTCCCTGAATAGACAAGCCAGTATATTCTATGCTCGTGGGTCTACACAGCAGCATTTCTGTGAGGGGATGGAGGGGGCTTCACTCACGTGGCAGCCGGGCAGCAGGAAAGTGGCAGCAGCACTATGCGGGGAGGAGTGGTAGCAGACGGCTGGTGGTGGCAGTGTGGGGGTGGGTTGGAAGCAAGTCACACTCAGAGCTAAGCTTTATTAAAGTGGTCCTCTGCTCCAAAACGTTGCCAACTTCTGTTCCAGAAGATGGTTTAAAAATTGTATGGGGAAAAAAAATCAGTTCAATTCTATGGAATTTTTCTCTAAGGAATCATCTGGGGAGTGCATGACTTTTAATATGGTTTCTTATAAAGCAGTACTTACTCCAAGTTTGACTGTAACTATGTTTGGGTTAAACATTAGCAGCTTCGGAGAGATCCCTAAGGGGTTTCTGAGATATTCATGTGCCATTGAAGTTCATGCAAACCTCCATATTTGCATAGTTTAAAATCCAAATTCTCTCTCTCTCTCTCTCTCTCTCTCACACGCACACACCACACATTGTTTAATCTGTGTGCCTGTATAACACGTTTCTCCTATGGCTGTCTGACAGTAATGCAGGGTATACATACGGTAATCTAACTTCTATCAAGATAATACCATCAGCTTTTGTAACAGTAAATCAAACCTACAACTTCTCCTGCTCATCAGACATGCTTCCTTCCTGTGACAGGAATGATACCGCAACACTGATGGGAAGAGGAGAAGGGATTTTTTTTACATTCACTTTATTCATCACTTTCTCTAAGGTACTTAACCAGAAATTGTAGGCTGAATCACCAATGGAAACTCCAAACGCTGTTTGCTAGAGCTGTTACCCGTGGACAGGAAGCAGTTTGTTTTTATAGGCTAGAGTAAAGGTTATGACACTTTAAATACTTCTTCACCAAGTAGAGGTGGCAACTTCTCTGATTCTTTTCAACATCCAAGTGACAGACACCAACCATGCATTTGAAGCCATTTTCTTTACGTACAGCTTACAGAATGCAGCTTTACTTTGCATGATATCCTTCATTAAAAAAAAATGTGTTCCTTAATTATTCACAAAACAATACTGTTACAGAGACAAATGGGCTGAAGGCATGATGGACTGGCACCCTTAAAGACTGACTCTTTCAGACATAACAGGAGCAGAAGGAAATTCAGAAATATAGGCACAGAAGAAAACACAGCACATGAAATGAGAAGGAGAGAGAGAGGATGGCTGTTCCAACTAATAACAGCTGCATAGGAGATTAGCAGAGGCCAGGGGAGGAGCAAAGGCCAGTGCAAGTATGAGCGGTATCAATGGAAGGAGGAGAGACAGGGTTTATAGTACACGCTGTTGCAAGTCCATGTATGTTTGGGAAAAAAGGGGAAATTCCAAACAGGAAACTTAAACTACAGCATTATTCTTGGAGCTCTTTGGGAATGAGTGTGATGGGGTTATCATTTTTTTGTGAATGTGACTGATACTTGCAGGAAAGAAGATAATGGCACAGAAGAGGATTTCTGTAGAGGAGAATTCAAAGCAACAGTGTGCACAGACTGTTGTGGAAACAGAAGAGGCACATGCAGAAGGAGATGACAATGAAGCAGAAGGAAAATTCAGCATCCAGGATAACACCAAGATTATAAATGTTAAGGTAAATGGAAAGTCAGAGTTCATGCTGGAGATGAAGACCAGTTCAAGGATTCTATTTCTTGTCCAGAGAAGCCTTTTTGGTTTGGAGATATTTGCCTGAAATAAGTGGAAATGGAACCTATAGGTCAGGCATTCTGGATGAGAAAGAGGTGGACGGGGAGGAATCAGTAAAGGGGAAAAAACAGTATATTGTTATGGGCCCCACAGACTCTCCAAGATTTCCCATTTACAAACTTAAAGAGATATTTTTATTATAAGTACCTATACATTTCATCCAGTCCCAACATCCACATCAGGTGTGACTTCTTGTTGCAGCTTTTACAGTAGAAAATTCTTAAGTGCAATTTTCAAAAGAAATTACAGTGGCTGATGCCTGAAATGGTTGAAGGATGAGACTTTTGCAGGACAGCATGATGTTCAAATACCACAGGGATGGGTAAGACAAGAGCCTTAGCAATTAGATCACAGCCACAGAAGGGCAGGAATGGTTCAAGTATAGTCCTTGAGGCAGGGGATGGATTTGCCCTCTCAAGGTCTCTTCCATCCCTACTTTGCTTATAATACTTCAGCTTTCCTGAAAGGAAGGAACATTCCATTAAAGTCAAAGAAGCTGCAGTGGTGTAACTGAGGTTGGAACTAGGTCCATAATACTAATTGAAAATACACATGTAATTTTGATGGGCAAAATGCAATTATGTCAGAGACTGGAAACTAGGCTTCATCAAACTTTTTGCACTTAGTTGTCACTTAATTGTCGGGCATCAATATTTAAGTAATTAATGAATCAACAAAAATGGAAACTAGACAATTTAGCTCAATGCATTGTGTTACAATCACAATAATTTTGCTTGCTGAGGTCTACATTAGAAAATACAGCAACATTCCATGTTTTCAGTGCCTCCTGGTACAGACAAAAGAAACTGCACTGAAAACCAATCAAGCAGACTGTAAATATCAATTAATACAGATATGCAACATCAGTGGGAAAATAGATTCCTTTTTTACTCTTAAAGTATCCCGGACAGGCTCAGCAAATGGGAGCATGAGAACTTGATGGTGTTTAACACCGAAAAATGCAAGGTTCTCCACCTTGGGAGGAAAAACCTGCAGCATCCTTATAGGCTCGGCAGCGCTATGCTGGCTAGTACTACGGAAGAAAGAGACTTGGGGGTCATCATTGACCACAAGATGAACATGAGCCTGCAATACAATGCTGCGGCTAGTAAAGCAACCAAAACGCTGACTTGCATCCATAGATGCTTCTCAAGCAGATCCCAGGATGTCATTCTCCCCTTGTACTCAGCCTTGGTGAGGCCGCAGCTGGAGTACTGCATCCAATTTTGGGCTGCACAATTCAAAAAGGATGTGGAGAAGCTTGAGAGAGTCCAGAGAAGAGCCACGCGCATGATCAGAGGTCAGGAAAATAGACCTTACGACGACAGGCTCAGATCTATGAGGCTCTTTAGCCTGGAAAAGCTCAGGCCAGGGGTGATCTGATGGCCACCTATAAGTTTATCAGGGGTGACCATAAGTATCTGGGGGAACGTTTGTTCACCAGAGTGCCCCAAGGGATGACGAGGTCGAACGGTTATAACCTACTGCAAGACCATTTCAGGCTGGACATTTCTTTACTGTCCGAGCCCCCAAGGTCTGAAATAGCCTGCCATTGGACGTGGTTCAAGCACCTACATTGAGCACCTTCAAGAGTAAATTGGATGCTTATCTTGCTGAGATCCTATCACCCCAGCTGACTTCCTGCCCTTCGGGTGGGGGGGCTGGACTCAATGATTTTCCGAGGTCCCTTCCAGCCCTAATGTCTGTGAAATCTATTAAATCATTTTAGGATACAGTACTCAGTGTCTATTATACTCACACTAAAGGTTTTTTTAAAATGACACTTTTCATTGATTTGTTTTGCCTTTGAAGGCTAAAATTAGCTTCTAGAAATCATGTTAGCCAGTCTGGACTAGTTCCAACCCCAACTAGATAATGGAAATACAAAAGGTTGGCCTGAGCTCAATCTGTTGGTCAACTAAGTGTTTTTCATTTTGGTAAACTTGAGCACCATGCATTTTGTTTCTTAATTGTGTTAAATGAAGGCCATAAACAACCAAAAGTAGACAAAGAACAATTTTAATTGTGCATTTGAAAACCAAATCCAACCTTCATTTATGTACATACAACAAGGATACAATTCACGTGGTAACTCTCACATATACACATCTGAAAACAGTTCAGATCCAGCCTACAGTGCATCCTTCATATATACTATACTCTGAAAAGAGAGAGAGATCAAATTCCTGGAAAACAAGTCAAACCTTTTGGACTTTTTCAAAAGTTAGGTGATGGCTAATCCTATTTAAGCCAGGTTTAGAATATATGTTTTGATGGTGAATTAGCCTGTTCCAAAAGGAGAGATCTGGAGTTGAAAAAAGATCTGTTGTTTCCTTTACAAAGAAACCTTTTCCTTTCTGTTCTTCTTTCTGGTTCCCTATTTGATGATACAATTATCCCAGCCTCCCAAACACTTTCAGTTTTGAACTACATTGCAAAGCTGCACTCTTGTGCATAGTTACTTCATTCAGAGTAGCCCCTTTTTATTTACTCCATGTAAGTTCATGATTTAATAGTTCAGTTCCTTTCTGACTATGTGATTCATCTCACACTAGTCACTGTATAAGTGCACAGTAACACTGAATTTATTTAAGACAAGTTGCTTATTTTTGCTTCTTTCAAGGTGCTTTAGGCTTCTATTATCCCTTTCAAAGTTGTGAGCTCTTTAATAATGTTCATTGCCTTTTATATTTCAGAAGCCGCTGGAATCCTGCTGCAGCAGCACAGTGAGGACCGCTTAGAGGGCTAACAACTAATTAAAGGAGTAGTATCTAATTCCTGTGCTTTATCCGGCTGCCATAGGAAAGTCTTCTGCAATTCACTCAGTTGTTTTCCTTTATCAGATTCAGAATTAACCTGCTAGAGTGTACACGCTCATCAGCCAAAAGCTAAATTCCTAGGTGTGCTAAACTATTAGACTTAGCTTTATGAATCAAAAGAGCCATGATGTCTGCTCATTGACTGGGAAGTATGACATTTTCTATACCGATACTGTCATAAAACTGAACACAGCTTTGTAAAGTTACCAATAAAAGAAATGTGTTTCAAATTGTTTCTACGTACACACACAACCACACTCAGGGAAAGGCACTTTGGAAAAGCTAATCTCTGAGAGGATCCCTTTGTAGAGATCCCTGCACATCATTCTGCTGGGGTGTACATGGAGAAAAGATTATCCCTGATGGCTCTTGGAATATCCTCAAACCTTGTAGATCCACAGAGATCCATGGGAATCGAAACTGATCTGTATGACCTTGTGTTTTTATACTGGCTCTGACTCTCCCACACCTCTGCTGCCCTACCTGCATCTTCTCCTACCTAGGCACTTCCCTCTGATACTCAAGCTGATAGCACCATAATAAATACTACTGCACCAGGTTGTGTTATCTTTCTTGGAGTAGCTCCAGAGGATAGAGTGAAAGATGTACGTCCCGACTCTACTCCCAGGTCCTTCCTATACCCAGTCTCCTCTGCTTCCTGTGTGGATTCCCAAGCACCCAGTGCTCTGTAGGAAGGGATGAAGAATGTTATCATGGGGATGTTTTGGGTCCTCTTCCCTAAAAAAATGAGGGAAATACAGACTCTGTAAAGTGAGCTGAAAACTACTTCTGTGGATATTGATAATGCACCCAGCAACATCTTAGAACCTGAAAAAAGCTTTTAAAGGATAGGGACTTCCTTCTCTTAAAACAGAAATTTGAGATCAAAGCCACAAGGAGGTGCAGGGTATCCTCAGGGGACACAAAGTTGACAGTAGTTCCTCCCCAACCCTCGCTATATACTTATTTTTTCAGTGGCTGATGTTTCAAAAGCTATTAGAGCTCAGAAACATAAAGGACATTGCTTTTAAATATTTAGGATCAAAATTTGCCCTTAGTTATACACATATGCATAACTCCCATCTAAGGGCAAAACCTATTCCTTTAAGCCTATCTCAGGAAAAAAGCCAGATGGTGAAGTGACAGGCATGGTGGAGTGCTAGAGACCAGCATGATTCAAAGCTCAATAGGGAAATTGGCTGAGGGGTCATACTCAGAGAGTAGTGGTGGACGGGTCATTTTTGACTTGGGGGGGAGTGGGCAGTGGGGTCCCCCAGGGTTTGGTCCTTGGGCCTGTACTGTTCAATTTCTTTATTAGTGACTTGGATGTGGGGAGGAAGAGCAGCCTGTTTAAATTTGCAGACGACACCAAGATTTAGGGTGAGGTGGGCATGCTAGAAGGGAAGGACAGATTACAGCAGGACCTGGACAGGTTACAGGGTTGGGCAAATGAAAATAGGATGGGAGTCAATTCTAAGAAGTGCAGGGTGCTGCACTTGGGCAGTAGGAACCAGCAGCATACATATAGGCTGGGGAACTCCCTTCTCAAAAGCACGGTGGCAGAAAGAGATCTTGGAGTCATTACTGACTCCAAGATGAACATGGGCCAACAATGCGAGAACACGGTCAGTAAGGCTAGTCGTACCTTGTCCTGCATTCACAGATGCATCACAAGCAGGGCCAAGGAGGTGATCCTCCCCCTCTATGCGACACTGGTCAGGCCGCAGCGGGAGTACTGCATCCAGTTCTGGGCGCCGCACTTCAGGAAGGATGTGAACTGCATTGAGAGGGTTCAAAGGAGGGCCACTCGCATGATCTGGGGACAGCAGGGCAGACCCTATGAGGAGAGGCTACGGGACCTTAACCTGTTCAGCCTTCACAAGAGAAGGCTGAAGGGGGACCTGGTGGCCATCTATAAACTTACTAGGGGGGACCAGCGGGGTCTGGGAGAGACCTTGTTCTCCCCCCCACAGTGCCTCCCAGATTAACAAGGAATAACAGCCTTAAGTTGCTAGAGAGTAGGTTTAGACTAGACATTAGAAGGCACTACTTCACAGTCAGGGTGGCTAGGATCTGGAACCAACTTCCAAGGGAAGTGGTGACGGCTCCTACCCTGGGGGTCTTTAAGAGGAGGCTTGATGTTTACCTGGCTGGGGTCATTTGAGCCCAGTTTTCTCTCCTGCCTATGGCAGGGGTTGGACTACAAGGTCCCTTCCGACCCTACATCTATGAATCTATGAAATATGAGGAGGATACCTCTTTGTCTGACTCCACACCATAGCACACAAACTCTTCAAACTACAGGATTGCTTAGAAGTTATGGAAAAATAAACAGTTTTTCAATCCTTTTCTCTTGGATTTTGTAACAATTCTTCCATTATGAAAGGAAAATGTATGTGAAGTTTATCTGTTAAAACCATTAAAAAAAAAACTTCTGTTATTTAGAAAATTGGATGAACAGAATGCTCAGCTAGGTTTACATCATCATTTCTTTTCAGAGCAGTTGCCTTAGGCATGTAACTGGGACATGGGGAAAAAAAGAACTACTAGTGAATTACAACACATATAAAAGCCCCAATTCAACCGTACCTATTTTCACTAGCTACAACGACTTAGACCCAAAACTTAGAGCGAAAAATGATTTTGCACTTACTATGTGCAAAGTGGGCAAGCTTCATAGATGTTAGGGTTGGAAGGGACCTCAATAGATCATCGAGTCCGACCCCCTGCATAGGCAGGGAAGAGTGCTGGGTTTAGATGACCCCAGCTAGATGCCTATCTAACCTCCTCTTGAAGATCCCTAGGGTAGGGGAGAGCACCACCTCCCTTGGGAGCCCATTCCAGACCTTGGCTACTCTAACCGTGAAGAAGTTCTTCCTAATGTCTAGTCTAAATCTGCTCTCTGCTAGCTTATGGCCATTATTTCTTGTAACCCCCAGGGACGCCTTGGTGAGTAAAGCCTCACCAATACCCTTCTCTGCCCCCATGATGAACTTATCGGCAGCCACAAGGTCGCCTCTCAACCTTCTCTTGCGGAGGCTGAAGAGGTCCAGGTGCCCCGGTCTCTCCTCATAGGGCTTGGCCTGCAAGCCCTTAACTGTATGAGTGGCCCTTCTCTGGACCCTCTCCAGGTTATCCACATCTCTCTTGAAGTGCAGTGCCCAAAATTGCACACAGTATTCCAACTGCGGTCTGACCAGTGCCCGATAGAGGGGAAGTATCACCTCCTTGGTTCTGTTCGTCATGCATCTGCTGATGCACGATAAAGTGCCATTAGCTTTCCTGATGACTTCGTCACACTGACAACTCATGTTCATCTTGGAGTCCATTAGGACTCCAAGATCCCTTTCTGCTTCCGTGCCTCCAAGCAGGTCATTTCCTAGGCAGTAGGTATGCTGGACATTTTTCCTCCCTAGGTGCAGCACATTGCATTTCTCCTTGTTGAATTGCATTCTGTTGTTTTCCACCCATATGTCCAACCTGTCCAGGTCTGCTTGTAGTTGTTCCCTGCCCTCCGGTGTGTCCACTTCTCCCCGTAGTTTTGTGTCATCCGCAAACTTGGACAGAGTACACCTCACTCCCTCATCCAATTCACTGATGAAGATATTGAAGAGTATCGGTCCAAGGACCGAGCCCTGCAGGACCTCACTGCCCACACCCTTCCAGGTTGATACCGACCCATCCACTACGACTCTCTGGGTGCGGCCCTCCAGCCAATTCGCCACCCACCGGACTGTGTAGTCATCCAAGTCACAGCCTCTTAACTTGTTCACCAGTATGGGGTGGGATACCGTATCGAAGGCCTTCCTGAAGTCTAATGAAGTCTTCGTGAAGAAAGAGGACTCTCCCTATTCTAGGGAATAAAACACTTTGAAGATTGACAGGTCAAGGGCCAAGGATTAGGGAAGTGAAGATGAACCGCACTCAACTGCTGCACATACTTTGTAAGGGAAACCAATAAGGCTTTTCAGTAACAACCTGAAGCTGGTGATAAGGCAATAAAACATATGTTGAAGGCACAGAGATTAGCATTAGACTTCAGATTTGTCCAGTAAGCAAAAGTAAAGGTGTCCAAAAGGCATGGGATATTGAAGAAGGTGGAGAGCACCATAAAGATACAGAAAGAAAATTACTTTTATTAGCCAAATCTTAGTGTAAACAAAAAATGAATCACCAAGATATGTATAAAACAAAAGGTAGAGATGACAAGATGAAGAATAATTCCAATATAGTGCATGGGTGGGGAGCAAATGTAGGGAAGGACATCCCAGCTCATGACCTCTAGTCTTTTTTGTCACTGAGTGTCCATCCAGCAAAAGCAGATCTCATTAACCATGATCCAGATTCTACCAAGCAGAAAATGTAACTTAATTTTGTTTTTCCCACATTGATGTTTTCCTGAGATTCAGCAGATCAAGACACGTGTGTGAAAAAGACTTATTAAGTCAGAACATCCCTCTGCAAGGGCAGGATATACCTGTATTGTTGTAAGGAGAAGCAGCTGGATCTTTAAATCTCTCCTGTCCCTGTACAACAATAATCAGCACTTAAAAGAGCAGCTGTCATCTTGGCAGGCAGCTGGTGAGGGCATCAGGCCTAGGTATGGTCACAAAGTTCACGGAACAGTGCAATAAAGGGCAGATCTTTTCATGGTCCTTCAACACTTCACTCAAATGTTTCATCTCATCTGTTAGCTTCCCAATTTCTCTTTTCAGGGAGGTATTTTCTTGTTCAAGGCACTCATATTCCTGAAATAAAGAAAGGAAGCCTACTCAGTCCAAAATGTTCCTCTTGGGGCCTCCTATCATTATTTTATCAAATGATGGGAGGGAAAAAAAAGATCACTCTTGTTTATAATGTAGTCTTAAAAATTAACATCAGACAAAAGACTGAACTAGCTTTATAAATACATGTGCTTGTAACAAGATAACTGCCCCAGTGTCTTTGTTCTGACTGAGCCACAGTCCAGAGTCCAGGCCATGAGTTGTGGCAAGGACCACGTAGTGCCACTCAAGAGAAATTTTGAAAAACAACATTTAGCCACTTTTGCATTACTTTGACCCTGGGCTGATCTATGTTGTGCAATTAATTGCAATTCATGGGTGCTTTAGGATGTTTAGGCTCAAAGTACTCCAAATGGGCCATTCTTGAAGCCAGAAAATGGAAGTGAAGGATGTTTTCCTATCCCTGCCCTCTACTTCCAACTTAAAGGTGGTGTCAGAGTTCAATGGGACAATGATTCTCTCTCGCAGGGGGAGCAGCAGGGCAGCTATGTGTTGACTGAGCTGAGAAAAACCAAAATACCCAAGTCAGGCAGGACAGAGTGATGGTCTGGTTTGGGAAATTGAGCAAATATCCCTACTTGAATATATACCATTCTGCGTAGCTGTAATCAGCCACGTAGGACCTTGGGGTCTACTGGGCCCAATCTCTGGTTTTGGTAGCAGCCAAAAGCAGCTGTTGAGAGGAATTACATTTCCTCTTACAGTACCTATTGTATAAACTGATGATTGAAAAAGACCTAAAAGTTTCTGTGAACCCCTTGTTCACAGCTATCATACATTGTGCATGTGGGACTTGGACAGTCTGCTGAAGTTCTTTCCACATAAAGTGAACTGGCATATTGTCCAATGCTGGACAGTGCCATCTTGCCGACAGTATTGGTTTCAGTAAAAAACAAAAATAATTTTATTTCGGGTCTTTAGTTTCAACTGAACATGGTCTAACAGCACTTTCTTGATAATTCTTAGCTTTCCAGCCACAATGACCAGCAAGCATGTTAGAAAATCATGAGTCACTATGTGTTCCCGTCTGAAAAAATGAAAGTATCACGCAACTTAACAAAAGTAATACACTCTCTTCCACTTGAGATGTCTTTATTATTCATCCGTTTAAATTTGTAGGAATTTGAAGCTCATAAGAACACTTGAAAGAATCAGATGCTACCTGGGGCAGCTGCTATGCTGATTTCTAAACAGTTTGCTACAGCATCCGAGTCTTGTCCAATGTGTATTACTCCAATCCTGAGCCCCTCTTGTAAAGAAACTGCATATGGCAATAAGCTTATTGTTTGATTGCAGAGGAGCTTTGAAGCAAGCTCTTGTACATGTTAAGAGAGGAAAAACTCAAAAAACTGTGGTGCTTCCCCTCTAGTCATAATTGTATTCAGGTGTGGTGATGCTTGTAATTTTTCCTGTTCTTTTCTACCAGCCCCAAGGACAAAGAAATAATAGAAACGTCTTCTGTGGATAATTCT